GCTGGGCAAATCAAGATTTTGGGTTTATCTGTGTTAGTATCTAGAGTTTGCAGAGGAGTCATTTTCATACATCTTGGCACCTCCCCCACCCACAGCAGATGGGCCTCACCAGTTTTGACTGAAGCCCCAAAATCTGACAGAGGGGGTGATTTATTATTTGGTCATTTGGGGGTGTATTCAGGCCATCACGAGATTTGAGAGAAAAGGTCTCTAAATATTTCCATCCTTCAAGGAACAGTAAATTATTATTTAGTGACAGGATCTGTGCTATGTTCTAGGGATACAGCAGTGAACAAAAATGGACACAATCTTTCCTTCATGGAACTTCTAATGGGGAAGCCAGGCAACTCATACCTCAGTCTTAGGGAGGTGGTGCTTCTTTGAACATCCAACAATCCAAGATCCAAGAAATAAACATCCAACCCACCCAAGAAATCCAACACCCAAGAAATAAGCAAAGGGCAATTATCTAAAGTATCACAGAAACATTATTACTGGAATGAGGGATTCCCTTCATAGAATACAGAGAAACATCTTAAAGTTATTGCTTCCCTCTCTCCCAGGTAGCTTGGGCTGCACTTTATTTGTTGGTGGGTAGGCATGGGATGCATTTGAATTGTTGGTGGGTAGAGGTTGGGGTGCATTTGATTTGCTGGGAATGGGAATTGGTGTGCACGTGATTTGTTGGGAGGTACTCTCAGAAGGAGGACACAGGAAAGGACAGGAAACGGAGGTAAAAAAACAAGGTGGTCTCAGGAGTCTAGCCTTTGCATAATACTCTGGGGAACCTGGAGTGTGCACCATTGTGTTGAGCTTTCTTGGGGCAAGGCCTTAGCGCCTCACCTGGGTGTCAGTCAATTGTTGGCTGTGGGCTGCCCTGGAGGTGGGCTGCATGCTCAACCATGGATGCATCATTGGAATGGACCAGGGCAGAGCACCAGGAGCATCCCCCTCCCTGTTCCTCAAACCTCCCTGTCTGTCATGCTTCCCACTACCTCAAATGTTGCTACCCAGTGTGTGAACATCACTTCTTTGTTTTGTGTTGAAAATAGCAACAACTTTGCATAAACCATATTACACCATGACATCATAAACATGGGGGTGACCAGCTTCCATATGATTCGTTTCTAATTTTAATTTTTAATTGATAGATAGTAATTGTATATACTTATGGGCTACAATGTGATGTGTTGATCAATGTACATATGTCGAATGATTATGTCAAGGTAACACATCCATTACTTTACATCCTTATTTTTTTTTGTAGTGAGAATATTTAAAATCTATTTTTTAAGGAATTTTAAACTATATATTATCATTAACTATGGTCACTTTGGTATGCAATAGATCTTGAAAATGTGTTCTTCCTGTCCAGCTGAAACATTACACCCTTTGGTCCACATGATCCTTAATTTTTTATAGTCTCAGGGCCTATCATGGCAGTTAGCTTGAAGGTCAGGCTGAGTTTATGTGTTTTTACTAATTTCTACAGAGGATGCTGTTGGTACTTCACCCAGATCCCATTTCCTGGTCTATTTCCGAGAACTATTTCCATGAATATATATATATATATATATATACACACACAAATAAAGGAATTAATCAAATTTTGTTAATGCCATGAATGTACTTCTTTTTCCTAAGGATTGTTCTGTAGATACCCACCCCCAAGCTGTTGTGAGTTCATTGTGATCAACTACAGCTGTCCCTTCCTCCAGAGAATTGCCCTCAGGAGATCAGGAGTTGTTCTGGGAGGTTATGATCCTGGGAGCACCTTGTAGCCAATGGCTGTCTAAGGTTGAGGTATGAAAGGAATCAATTTCATGGTGTCTCATAACTCCAGGGTTCTCCATGAGATCATTGGAGCCCAATTCCTTGTTCAAATCCTTCCTGGGCTTTCTTGTCCTTCTTTCCTCACTCCCTCTCCTGCTCTTTCTCTTTTTAATTTCAGATTAATACGGTACAAACAATTAAGTTACAGTGTTTGTTTTTGTTAGGTAGAGTCCCTGTTGTAGTTGTGTCCTGCATCCAGGAGCCTGCCATGTAACCTTACATTGTGCTCATTAAGTGGGAAGATACCAATCCTCCTCCCTCTTTCCCTCTCCCCCCATCTAGAATTGAATTGAGTATTTTCTTTTATTTGGGCATGTATTAGATCATCTACTGGCTTCATGTTAGTATTGAGTAGAATGAATACTTGCTTTTCCATTCTTGTGATACTTTACTAAGAAGAATGTGTTTCAACTCCATCCAGGTTAATACAAAAGATGTAAAGTCTCTATCTTTTTTTTTTTTTTGCAGTTTTTGCCCGGAGCCAGGTTTGAACCAGCCACCCTGGGTATATGGGGCTGGCGCTCTATTCCTTGAGCCACAGGCACCGCCCAAGTCTCTATCTTTTTATGGCCGAATCATATTCCATGGTATACATATACCATGGTTTATTAATCCATTCCTGGGTACCCTCTCTCTCTTGAGAGCATCCCTGAAACCTTACCTAACACAATCCCTCCTTTGGTTATGTCACCAAAAATAAAATAGAAAGACAATAGTTCTGGTTTTATTTTGAGACAAGATTTAGATATATGATACTTGGGTTATAGCAAGACCCAAGTAAGATTCCTTATTATCAGTATTATCTCATTGACGTTGGCAATGATGACAATGGTGGTTGAATTCCATTTGGATCTAGATTCAGAGTGCTTAGTATTTGCATCATACTTCCACCTTCTGGTAAGATTAAGAAATAGAAAATTGGAAGTAACATCAAATGCTGGGCTTGTGAAGCAGGGTTGAGGTATAGAAGAAAGGCTTCAGGGTATGGTGAAGCCATTCCTACAGAGCTATGATATTAGAATAGCTCTGTAGCTCTATTCTAGGGAGCTATTCGAAGTAGTTATTTTTCTTAAAAAATCACCTTAAATCTATTGTTTTATATATATATATATATATATAAAATACATATTTGAGACAGTCTCATTCTTTTGACTCAGGCTAGAGTTCTGGATGTCATAGCTCATGGCAACCTCAAACTCCTGGGCTCAAGTGATCCTCTGGCTCAGCTTCCCTAGTAGCTGGAACTATAGGTGTCTGCCACCATGCCTGGCTAAGTTTTTCTATCTTTTCATAGATATGGGGTCTTGCTCTTGCTCAGGCTGGTCTCTGAACTACTGAGCTCAAGAAATTCATCTGCCTCAGCCTCCCAGAGTGCTAGGATTACAGGTGTGAGTCATCGCGCCCAGCCTATTATTATATTCTTATTACTCTTGAACATTCAGGCCCAAAGATATTCATTCAGTCAATAAGCTAAATTTAGTTCTAAGTGCATGGGAATGTGAGTTAAGAAGCCTGTTTTTTATATTTATCCATCCATGCATTCATCCATCATCCATGGTTTCATCCAAAAAATGTTTAAAATATGTCATCTATGTGCTTGGTGCTTTTATGTCGGGTTGATTCATTTTACTCAATCTTTATTTTCTCACATTTAAAATGGGGTTAATCTTGCCAATCCATTTATTCTTTCTCACTCCCAACCTCATCAAGGTATAACTGACAAGTAAAAACTGTATGTATGTAAGGTGTACAACTTGATGTTTTTCTACACATATACTTTGTGAAATAGTCACCACAATCAAGCCAATAAACATAACCATTGCTCCACATAATTACCATTTTTTTTGGTAGTGAGAACACTTATGATATACCCTCTTAGCAAATTTCAAGTATACATATAGTGTATATATTCTTAAAATTAGAGACACAATCTCTTCCTGTCAGCCAGGGTGATTTTCCATCTCAGCCTCCTGAGGAGGAGGGGTTACACCATCATGCTTGGCTAATTAAAAAAAAAAAAATTGTTGGGATGGGGGAGATGTCTCACAGTATTGCCCAGACTGGTCTCAAACTCGTGGCCACAAGTAATACCTTGGCCCAAAGCGCTGGGATAACAAGCATGAGTCAATGCATCTGGCCAGTATTATTAGCTATAGTTACCATGCTGTATATTAGACAACCAAAACTTATTTGTCTTTTGTAATTGAAATTTTGAACCCTTTGAACAATACCTCCTCATTTTCTCTCTAGCTCCTGGCAATGACTAGTCTACTTTCTGTTTCTGAGTTTGACTATTTTAAGTTAGTTCTCTCTTTCTCTCGTTCTCTCTCTCTCCTTCCTTCCTTTTTATTTTTGGAGACAAGGTCTCACTTTGTTGCCTTTGGTAGAGTGCCATAGCATTATAGCTCACAGCAACCTCAAACTCTTGGGTTGAATTCATGCTCTTGCCTCAGCCTCCCAAGTAGCTGGAACTACAGGTGCCTGCCACAATGCCCTGTTTTTAGAGATGAGGTCTTGTTCTGCTTTGGGCTGGTTTCAAACCTGTGAGCTCAGGCAATCCACCCACCTTGGCCTCCCAAGTACTGGGATTACAGCTGTGAGCCACTGCGCCGGGCCTATTTAAAGTTCTTTATAAGTGAGATGATGCAGTAATAGTCTTTGAGCATTTGGCTTATTTCATTTAGCATAATGATCTCCAGGTTAGTCCATATTTTCACAGAAGGCAAGATTGTCTTCTTTTTAAAGGTAATTTAATATTCCATTGGATTGTGAATATTCTTTATTCATTTATCTTTTGACATTTAGGTTGTTTCCATACCTTGGTGATTGTGAATAGTACTCCAGTGAACATGGGGTAAAGATATTTTTATTTTCTTTTGAAATATACTCAGAAATGGGATTGCTGGATCATACATACAGTTCTATTTTTAATTTTTAAAGGAACCTCCATACTGTTTTACCTAATGCTGTACACCAACAATGTACAAAGCTTCCATTTTTTCCACATTCTTGTCAACATTTGTCTTTTTGATAATGGTCATTCTAACAGGTGTAAAGTGATAACTCATTTCCCATTTGATTCCCATTTCCCAATGATTAGCAATGTTGAACATTTTTTCATAGGCCTATTGACTATTTGCAAGTCTTCCTTCTGAGATAGTATGTCTATTCAGGTCCTTTGCCCAGTTTTGTTTTTTGCTATTGAGTTGCATGGAGGAAAGAAGTGCATTCATGGCATTAACGAAATCTGATTTTCTTTCCTTTATTTGTTGAAAAGTACGTTTTCATGGAGACAGCTTTAGGGAATAAAATCAGATAGCTGGTACAAAGGAAGCTTGGGAATAGAAAAATGCTAAGGAAGAAAAATAAGGACGTTGCTATGTAATTTAGCTTATAACACTAGGTATGTTTTGCGTATCTATTTGCTATGGTTTGGATGGTTCCCCTAAGTTAACCTTACAATAAACTAAGCTAGAGATACAGGAGAGGGTGTCCCAAAAGTTGCCATACAGAGGGAAAGTGGGAAATTGTAGTTAAATCTACCTTTATTTACAAAATATTCATTACAAAATTTTACAAAATATTTACAAAATATTTTCTACGTGTTAGCCACCTCTTTGTAAACTATCACTGTAATATACATATAACATTCAAAAATGTGTTAATCGGCTACTTGTTTTATCAGTAAGCCCTCTGGCAACACTAGGCTATCAGTAGTTACGTTTTTGGGGAATCAAAAGTTACACGTACCAAATAGCCTAAGAATATTGGGGGGGGGAGGGAAAAGGGAGGGGAGAATGGGTGGAGGGAGGGGGTTTGGAGGGATCACTTCTGAGGTTTATCTTATAGGGGTACAGGTGAATCCTTCTAAGAGTAGAATGTGAATGTTTTAAA